ACAAAAGAGAGAGAGAGAGAGAGAGAGAGAGAGAGAGAGAGAGAGATAAATCAATCAAAGACTAGAAACAAGGAGAATAATTAATTTTTTGTGAAGAAACACCAAGCCAGCCACACATATTAGTAAACAGGCAATAACCACCAAAAATCATTGATGCACAAGACATTCATCTCTTCTCTGTACCGTGAAAATCAACTGCACACAGCAAGTTCAAAACCATATCTAAAAAGGCGCATGTTAATAATTCTCCTTTGCACTGACACCACAAAAGCAGCATTCAGAGCATTCATAGGCAAGCGCTTCATTCCCAGAGGATCCTAACCTGTCCAGAGATGGGGCTGTCTCTTGCTCTCTAGGCTTGAGGTGTGACTGCGATTCACTGAAAGGGATGATTTTATGTTTGACAGCACCAGGTTTGGGCAGAAAGGCATTAAAAGCCTGTCCTGCACTTGGATTTAGGTAAGATCCAGTCCTTCGTGCAAGCATGTCATCCTTCTCAAAATCTGGTAGTTGATCGTCATCCCCACATTCATCATCATCATTGTAAATGCCAGAGCGATTGGCGTTAGTTGCAGACAAGCGTACAATGTCAGGGCACTTTTCTGTTACTACAGCAACTGGAACGGGTGTCTTTGGTACTTGGTCGACTGGTTCATTTCTGTCAAAACAGCATATGCTGATAACTAACTTGACAAAAGAAACTCAGTTTGTGCAATACTCTCTAAGGAAAAAGTAATGCAAACAGGTTAAAAACGAATGCACACATACATTCACTCATACATTCAAAAATAAACTGTTCTGTAAGATGTTTTGAGTGATTGTTAGCTCATTGCTACAGTGTTCTGAGTGGTTGCTATCGCAAACTGGGAGGTTGTTTACTGGCTTAAGCATTTTGTTTTCTAGATATCTGTGCTTCTTTCATTATCTATATTTTTGCTCAAAAAAAAAAATGCTCAAAAGTATTTTTTTCCCCCACCACAACACAGAGCATGTTAGACTCATACATTATCAACAAAAAGAAATGACAGACTTCCAGTTAGTCTTTCTTGTCCCACCTCTGTCCAATTTTGGTTCTCTTTGTCTTTATGACTCTTTCCAGGTATTGGAAGTCTCCGTCTCCACTCGTGCTCATCTGAATACTTCCTTTCTGGGCTAAGGAAGCCACTGTAGCACCGTCTCTCTTGGAACCCGGCTGTGGGAGGAATCTGTTATATGAAGTCCCATTTGCTGGCTTCTGAAATGCTCCTGTTCTACGAGCTAGCATGTCATCCTTTTCTGTATCCGGTTGCCTCTCTTCTTCTTCATCCTCTTCATCATCCTCCCTCTCATCCTTCGCTTTCTCAGCCAGTTCCTCCTCCAGCACCCTGTGCTCGGTGGAGGCCAAAGGCCGTTTAAGGTCAAACATGACAGGGTTCAGAGGTTCAGGGGGCACGATAGGAGCAGGCTCAGGGTTTGCATCTCCACTGAGTAAGTTAGTTCATAATGTATGAGGAGTGGAAGGAAAGAGAGAAACAATGAGTCAGAGACAGAAAAGAAAAAAAATGAGAGGGAAGGACAGAGAACGCAGATACAGGCAAGGAAAGATGCAGTCCAGTGGGAACCAAAGCAACTGCAATGCAGTTACTCAAAACTACAAAACAATTTATTACTTTCTTAAACAAGCACAAATGCATATTTCATCTTTTTCTTGTTTCTTCAGAGTCAGACAGTCAGATATGTCAGTCCAAACCACCACTGTAAGGCATTCACAGCTAATTTCTCTCCTAAACAGGACAAAAAGGTGCAGTTTTAATGTAATTTGTGGGTGCTATAGTTGTTAACATCATGCTAACAGCCTCACTACAAGCCATACACAGCTAATTTCCCTCCTAAATAGCCCAAATAAGAGCAGTTATTCATGACTGCTACAGTTGTTAGCATCATGCTAACCGCCGCTGATGTTGTGGCAGACATGTGGTACGAGTCAGAGCTCTCAAAAAGTTGAGAATTTACAAGTTGTAATTATGAGTTTTCGGAGGATGTGAACAATTCTTTTTTAAAATTTGGAATCTCAATTACGATATTTCCAACATGGCATGAACACACCTTAAGCACTAGGCAAAAAATTATATCAATCTAGTTGGAATATACTAAACAATAAGCAAATTTATATTTTAAATACAAATTCAGGCTATATCTTAGAATTGATTTTTTATTTTATTTTAAACTTTATCTCACAATTACCTTTTTTATTTTACATATTTTTATACAGTATTTTATAAAATAATATAACTTATATATAATATACATAATTTATTTGTATATAATATATTAAATGATTTTATATATTTTTTATATATTTTACATTTTTATATTATTACATATTCAATACTTATTCATTCTCCATGCAATTTACACAGAAGTCTTAAAGTAGCAAAAATACTAATGGTTGCGCTGAAAAAATAGTCAAAGTGTATAGTTTAAGTGTAATATATATTAAGTATTACATATATAATTAATATTATTTTACAATATATATTATACTACTATATTATCAATGACCCTCAGGGAAACAATATGTGACAAGCATGTATTTCTTGCACATGTATCTTTCTCCTCCTGCCTTTCTTTCTCTCCCTACCTGCCAACCGCTCTCTTTGTCAGTATGGAGCCCAGCCCTATGGTGGGCACAGCAACAGGTGCCATCGAGAGGAGATATCGAAGCGTCTCTGCCTCGTCCCCCTGTCCCTCTCCCCCTTCCTCATCCTCCTCCTCCTCTTTCCAGGAAGTACTCTCCATCTCTGTCACACCCCCAAATGTCACAAAACGCCGCCGTTCACCAGAGAAACGTTCTCGGCAACTGGCCAGTTCGTTCTTGGCAACCTTCGTCTTGGATGCAACAGAGCGGCAGCCTTTCTCAAGACACGTCTGACACAGAGCGACAATAGGGTCATCGCTGTTCACACGCACACACATACATGACACATGTAAGTAAAGAAGAGAAAGAAAGAAGAATTAGAGGAGCAGATGGAAAGAAATGATGAAAACTAAAAAATACTAGTGCAGAAAGACCATGTCAAGTCAATGATATAAAGAGAATTGTCATGGATGTCTGGACGGGAATTTGTGTGATTTCCAAATAAACCCACTGACGCTGATGCAAGCATGGCCTTTTTAAACATACAAAAGGGAAATTACTATACTGAAGGAATGACACACACAGCCTTGGCTCTTCTACAACGGTTTAGTATGTGGTCTAACACACACATGCTCCCCTCCCTCGTTCTCTGTGAGCATCTCTTGCTTTCAATAGTTGCCTTGGTGACGTCTGTTTGCTAGAGAGGGGCTTCCCTCTCACAAAGGCCCACTTTAACAAACATCTCCACAACAGCGTAACAAGACAGAGCCCTATTACGCAGCACTCAAGCCAATGACAGACCAAGCTTCTTGGCTGTAAGCTTTGAAGCTCACACTGTCTTAACCAGTCGTAATACTTTTTCAGCAGCAAGTAATTTGTCTGTCTACACTGACAGCAAACATACAGTGTGACGGCACACATTCACAGCTAATCAAAACATATATGAAGAACATACTCCCTACTTACAAGCATTATATATATATATATATATATATATATATATATATATATATATATATACACAC